CCAGGAACGATCCTGTGGGTTTGGGGTCCCCAGGAACGATCCTGTGGGTTTGGGGTCTCCAGGAACGATCCTGTGGGTTTGGGGTCTCCACGGAGCTGTCCCAGAGCTCCGCCACCCTCACGGAAATAAATCCTCCCTCACGCTGAGGTGGAATTTGTTGTGTTTTGGTTCATGGCCATCGCTCCCCATCCTCTGAGCCTGTGGGATGTTTAATTCATTGATGGATCCCCTCACAGCCCGACCGGGCCCCGCTCAGCCCTCACCCGTCCCCCCGGGCCGCTCCCGGTGCCGCCCGCCCTCAGGGCCCTCCCGGAGGGTCTCACCCGCTCCGGGCCCCGYTTCAGCCGGGCCGTGTCCAACCAAACCCCGCAGGGCTGGGCCGGGGCCGCTCCGCCGCCGCTGCGCCGCCGCCTCATCCCGGTCGAGGCTCCCGTTCCCGGTCCCGATTCCCGTTCCCGGTCCCGTTCCCGGTTTCTGTTCCCCGTTCCGGTTTTTGTCCGTTCCCGGTTTCCCGCTCCCGCTTGGCCCCGCCCCCAACGGGCAGTGCGCATGCGCTATCTGCAGGGGCGGACCAATAGGAAACCGGGAACGGGGCCATTTCCGGAATAAGACCACGCCCAGCGCTATATAAGAGCGGCGGGTTAATGACCGCTGAGAGCAGCAAAACCTGGATCTGGATCAAGACCGGGACCGGGATCAGGATCTGAATCGGGACCGGGACCGGGATCAGGCTCTGGATCTGGACCGGGACTGCTCGGACAGCTCTGAACAGCACCCTACACCCTGTAATAGGGGTCTGAAATGAGATTAAATTAATTTGTCACCCTTGTGGCTGGAGCAGCCTCACCTTGGGCGTGTTTCCATGGGGCATCTCCTCACCTGCAGCTCCCCAGAGCCTTCCCCAGCCCTTCCATCAGGGCACACAAAACACTCGGTTCCAACCGTTTATTCAGGTGAACTGAGCCCGTGTACCATTCTGCGAGCAAGCTGGAACTAATTCTTGATTAAAAAAAGCATAAAAAGCGCCTCTTACTTCCATTCCCTACAGAAAGCACTCGCTGTGTAACAGCTCACGAAGCAGCATCTCGAGGTTTGGGGCTGGCTTTGGGTTTGGGGCTGGCTCTGGGTTTGGGGCTGGCTTTGGGTTTGGGGCTGGCTCTGGGTTTGGGGCTGGCTCTGGGTTTGGGGCTGGCTTTGGGTTTGGGGCTGGCTCTGGGTTTGGGGCTGGCTCTGGATTTGGGGCTGGCTCTGGATTTGGGGCTGGCTCTGGGTTTGGGACTGGCTTTGAGCTGAGCTCATTTTTCATTCACTGCTCCTTGAAGGCCAGCTCGTTCTTCACCTTTCGGGCCATGTAGGCGGCTGTGAGCACAGAACAGGCCACGGTGCCGAGGAACAGCGCACAGAAATCGTGAGCCACGTCCCTCTGCAGGGAGGAGTAAATCTCCCTCCTGRCCTCATAGTCCAACACCACGGCCTCAATCTGCGCCAGCGTGCACAGCACCAGGCACACGTGGAAAATCTGGTGGCTCTGCCCCAAAAAGTGRCACCTGCCCGGGAACCACTTCTCGGGGTAGGGGTGGGAGAAGAAGAAGGCGCCGACGAGGAAGAAAAGCACCTGGCACTTGTGGTAGAGCAGAGCGGGGTCGGGGCGCGCCGAGGCGCAGATGCGGTGCAGCACGGGGCTGATGTCCAGCAGATACGCCAGCCCCGAGGGCAGCTCCTGGCACAGCCGGCCGGGCAGCGAGCAGGAGGGATGGAAACGGAATTTGGCGTAGCAGGAACCAGCACAGGACAGCCAGGCCAGCGCCGCMGCCGCCGGCAGGAAAAACCCCCGCACGCGCCGGTGCCAGCCGGGCTCGATGGCGTAGTAAAAATGACCCAGAGCGCTGCCGTACTGATACACCGCCACCCCCACGTAGTCCATGAAGAAAAAACCATAGTGCCAGAACTCGGATTTGGCCTGCAGCAGGTGGGCCAGGCTGCTGAAGCTCAGGTAGGTGATGGCAGCAGCCAGGATGATGAGCAGSGGCCGGGCATGCGGGTCCTGCCCGAAGTCCACGCGCTGCCCGAGGCTCTGCAGGCGCAGCAGCAGCACCAGTGCAGCCCCCAGATGTGTCCAGACGTTGATGGCTTCGTTGTGCTGCCCGAAGAGCGTGCGGAAATAATAGAGCCAGGGCTGGCGCAGGGGCCGGTAGCCGCCGTGGATGTAGGGCTTCCAAAACACCGGCGGCACCTCGGCGCTGCTGAGCGTGCCCGGGGTGGCCACCGGGAGCTGCCTCATGGTGGTCAAGAGCCGGCYGAGCCTCTCGCTGAGCGCCGTGGCCATGGTGAGGCTCAAATCTGGGTTCTCACTGTGTAAATTACCTTTGGGGTGGAGGAAAAACATTTTGCTGTGGGGTTTTATGGATATAAGTATCAATATAAATATGAATATAAAAAACAATAAAGCAGGGGCTGTTTAAATGCTCAGACTGGGGTTTTCTCCCTCAGAACAGCCTGGAATAAGAATCCCCCAAAACAGTGACAGAAAGGAGGGTGAAGGGAGGTTAAGAATCCCAGGGAACATGGGTTCGGGGTTAAATGACACAATAATGGACACACCAGGACACATCAGCTCTTCCCCACAGTTTGGGAACTGCTAAACAAACCAAAGATCATAAACAAACCTCCCACTCCAGATTTTGCCTCCTGTAAATTGTTTGCAGTGTCTGTCCCTACAAATAACCACAGGCTGTGTTCCCACAGCATCGAGGTGACATGCTCTGCCCCTCGAGGGGGGACATCCCAAAACAGAAATAACCAACCCCACTCACAGAGGATGCAGCTCCTGCATTTGGAGTTTCACCCCCTTTTTTCAGCTCCTGATTTTCCAAGCAGCTTCCCACAAAAACAGCGTGGCCRGAGTGAGTTCATCCTGCACCACTGAGGTCCAGCAGCGCAATCTTTGTGAGCAGGAATTTCCATATTTACATTTGGGAGCTGCTGTCCTTACCCAGATAAAGGCAGCCCTGTCAGCTTKTTCGGCCTTTTCACAAAACMTTATTTTTRTGCCYAAAATGAAMATTTTCCCCCCTCTTTACCTGCTCYTGCTCAGACCAGTCCTGAGGAAAGCCTGCCTCACGTCCAGCTTCAGTGCTGATTTATTCCTCAACCCCTGGCAAGTGCCATCATTKCAGGGACAGGAAAATATCTTCAAAGTTTGGGAACAGGAGGAGGTGGGGATGGGACTGTTTGTTTTAAAAACTCGGTGATTTCCTCATCACAGCCAGTCTGTAACTCGTTCCTGCCCGAATCTGAGGGGCACAGATGCAGAACAAACGGGATTTTGCTGCTTCCCAAACGCCCTTTGCCCACCTGGCCTGGTTAGAGAGACCCCACATCCCAAAAAGCCGCCCTGCCTGGGGCAGAACCTCACCAAAGGCAATTCCAACCCTCCCTGAGCCTCCCAAACCCTCCCAAAAACCTCCTCAGGCTWCCAGGGAAAAAATTCACCTCATGAACCTCTTCCGGACTCACCCTGCACCAAAACAGCCCCGAGCGCTGCCACGGAGAGAGGGCAAAAGCAGAACCTCCCAAGTTCAGCTGTTTTGACCTAAATTCCACGGGCGGTTTGGAAGCAAAGCCTGCCCCCGAGTTGGCCCAGGTGAGGGGAGGGGGCTCAGCTCCGTGCCCGCCCCGTTCCGGCTCCCAGCAGAGGAATTCCTGCGGGAAATGTTCCCGGTTCGGCTCGGGAGATGCTGTGCCAGAGGAGCAGCCAAGCACCAGGCAGGAAAGGGAGCGGTGTTTACTTGAGCTCCTCCGAAACTTGTCGGAGCAGGATTTAATTCGCCCAGCTCTTCCCAGCTCCCGACGCTCCGTTATGAAGGGAGAACATCCTGGAAATCCTTCCCTTGCCCCGATAACACCCTGCGCCTCCCCAGGAGCCGTCAATAACGCACCGAGAGCTCCCGGCGTTTCCTCCGCAGCGTTTCCTCTCCCCAGCAGCATCCACCCCTCCCGCTGAATTTTTCTGTGATGATAAAGACTCGCCCCCGGCTGTTTACATCCCTGTTTGCTCCCGCCACACAGCGGCATGCAGCYTCGGAAAGCCTCGGAAAGCACAGAGAGCTTTCATTTTCAAACTACCACGGCTTTYCTGCAGCTCAGCTCGGCCCCTGATCCACCTGAGCCCCGCGGAGCAGCAGCTCCAGCCCTGCCAAACCTTCTGGGCAGCCCAGGATTGTTCTCCCTCCGCTGGGATTGTTCTCCCTCCCCTGGGATATCCCCCCGGTTCCCCGGGGATGCTCCGGGGCGCGGATGGGGTGAGGATTGCAGGGTTTTAGGGTTTTGTGCCCCCCGGGACCCCCAGCCCCGCCCCGGCACCTGCAGAACGGAGCCCTCCGGGCTGAGCCGCCGCCGCCTCCGGGTCCGCCCCGCTCCGGCCCCGCCGCTTCCTCCGCCCGAGCCCGCGGCTCCTCCCGCCCGGCCCGGCCCGGGGGTCCCGGGGGTCCCGGGGGTCCCGGGGGTCGCGTCCCCCGCAGTCTCTTGGAGCGGCTCCGAGCCCCTGCTGCCCCCTCGCACCGCCCGACGGCTCCGCGTCCCTCCCTCCCTCCCTCCGCAGGTGGAGGAAGCTGTGGAGCTTTTTTTTKTKKTKKYCYTTTTTTTAATTATTATTTTTAAGGAACCTGTTTCCAGCCCAGCTTTCCGCAGGACCCTGAGTTCTGTGCTCCCGCCCCGATCATTCCCGTCCCTCACTCCTCTCCCTCCTCGCACCCCTCAAATCCCCCCAGGAGCACTCGGGGAGCCCGGACCCAGCTCAGGCCCGGCCCCGGAGCCCCAGCTCGGCACAAGCGCGGCACAAACGTGAAGCAGAAGGAAGAGAAGGGAACAGAAGGGCCCGCGCCGAGCGCTGACAGCTCTGGCAAACCCAAACCTCMCATTTAGCGTCGTTTTGGGCTCCAACGCCATTTGGGGTTTGGCAGTGCTGCCATTCTCCTCCCCCGCGTTTGGAGAGAGGAGATAAAACCCCACATGACATTTGGGACGCTCTTTCCTCAGCAGGTAACTACATTAAAATGCAGATYGGGGGGCTGATTGCTAATTATGGCTCATTTTGTACTCGGAGCTGCTCAGGGCTCCCTCCAGCCTCCATTACACAGGGCCAGCTGTTGGGGCTCTCTCCCGGTGCAATGTCCAGCCCTTGGCTCAAAGGTCAGCTCTGTTTTGCTGTCCCCATCGCGGTGTCCTCTGTCACCCAGTGCCCGACAATGCCGGGATGAGCCGCCCCAAAGCCGCCCCATCTCTCCCCAGCAGGGAGCAGCACAGACTCTCTCTTACCTCGGGCTGTGGAGCATCCAAACGCTGCTGGAAATCCCTCGGGAGGACGGGCTGAATTCAGCGTTCTGGGCTTCCAGGAGGGCGGTGCGCCCCTTCTCCACTCGCACAGCTCCAAAGGGCCCGCTGGGACACGGGGAAGCTTCCCGGACTGGGGCTCCTCCATCATCCACACAAGGTCAAGCAGTCCAGGACCTCTGGAATCCCTTAAAAAAACAACTCCCGGCAGGCACGGGGCTGTGCCACCCCCAGGGTTTATCGGGGWTTGTGCTGGGGAGGGTGGGGGTGCCCCTTCCCACCCCGGCTGGAGCCTTGGCACCTCTGGGTGTCCTTAGTGGAAGGGTTTGGGGTGCCATACAGAAATATTGTACCCAATCTACCTAAAAATCACATTTCCTCAGCAATGTTGTACCCAATCTACCTAAATATCACCTTTCCTCAGAACACAAGCACAGCCCCACCTCTTTCTCATCCCCCAGAAAGAACAGAACCAGGTCTGGCTGTGGGCGGGTGCTGTGTTCTATCCCAGCACCTGTGGGTGACACCAACACAAAAATGATTCTTCCCCACAAGAAGCATTTCCCCTTTGGGCAGCCTGACCCTGGCAGCACAGAGCAGGTTTGTGCCCGTGCCCCGGTGCCACACAAGTCCCCATTGAGCAGCACAAGTCACCCMAGGCAGGCTCCCATCAGTCATGTGGGAACAAGGGCCGTTTGTTGGGGTGTCGAGCACGGGGCCCTCGGAACAAAAACACCCGCCAGCTGACACTGCTGAGGTGTCACACAAAGCTCTGATTGTCACAGCCACACAATGCCAGGCTCTGGGGCACAGCAGCCGGGCCCAGGGGAGCTGCTCCAGACCTTCCCATCCACCCAAACCTCAGCTCCTGAAGAAACAACTCGGGATAACAGCACTGTGCAGCTTTATTGAGTCACTCAGTTACAGCAGTATTTTAGCAGACTGGGACAGTCAGAGATTTTTGTTTAAAGTGTAACAGATATTCAGCATGGAACAGTTACTACAGATTCCTTGCACAAAGGTCTTACAGAGCTGATACAGTACTCGCCATCAACCCAGAAGCGAGTGCACTGGCGTAGAAAAGGATGCAACAAGAAGAAAAAGCTACACTGGAAAGACAACACTTTAGAAAAGTGACACATGGAAGGTCTCCCCTCTAGCCCCCAAAGTAAGTGTACAGTTTGGATCTAATTTTACAGTTCTACATCAGTTTCTAGGAAACTTAAAAAAAAAAATATATAACCGAACCAAAACCAAAGATAAAACCACTGGCCAGTACAGTCTTTGGATATTTGGAGGAGGGGGAGAATCAGTTTCCAGAACGGAGTCAGTCGGTCTCGGCCTCGCCGGGATCTTTGCCTTCTTTGTTCTTTCGAACCTCTTCCACATGCTTGTCCTGAAAAACAGCAGTGGGAGCTGTCAGAGCCTGGGAAAGGCTCCCCTGAGGGGCACTGGGGGTACAGGGCAGAGTTTTAGGGGAGAAAGGGAGAGGCTGCTCAGCTCTGTCCACACCAGTGACCCTCCTGGGCACCTTTCCTGGGGGGTTTTACCCATTTTTCCACCAACAGCTTCCCCTGCCAGGGCTCCACACCCACCTTCTCCCGCAAGCGCTCCAGCTTGGCAGCCATTTGTGCCTCACGGTTCTCTTTGTTGGCTTCCATTTTGTGGGTCAGCTTCTCCTCTGCCATTTTGCTGAAGTTGTTGTTCTCCTCGATGGCTTTCTGCAGCACCTCCTTCTCGTGCTCCCGCTTCTCTGCCAGCTGCTTCAGCACTTCTGCCTCATGGGACTGCCAAGACACAGGGGCGGCTGTGAAGGCACAACAGGGGACCCACCCTGGCCACAGGAGCTGCCCCTGGCTCCTGAGAGGATTTTCTGCTGTTTGGCTGCAAACAGAGCTYGGTGCTGCAGGACGGAGCTCCCAGAGCTTCCCCACCCGCCCCAGAACCTGCATTTCACCACCACAAGCTACCTGCAAAGCTCAGCTTCTGTCATTACTTGCAAATCCTGTTAAATGGGATCTTTCTGGGAAGAGAACACTGATTTTTTTGATGTTAAGGTTGATGGAACTTTCCTTGAAGATTTTCCCTTCTCAGAGTGGTGAATCACTGAGATTCAGGTCAGGCTCACTTCAGTCAAAGCCTCACCAGCACCTTCAAGGGCTCCAGGCTGCACCCCCAGCCACATCTTTCATCAGTCAGACAATTTATTCCCAAACTTCTCATTACAGATTCACTGCTGCATTTTCTAGGAGAAAATTAATCTGTTCTGSTGTTAAAAGACAAGAAAAACAGCTTCTTCCTGAAAGAGCTGCCCCTCTCAGCTACGTTTCCTCCCAGTTTTTCTTCAAAATCAGTTTGGAATCAAAGCCATGGTTCTGCAGACCATAACAAWGCTTTGTAAAAGCCCCAGGGATCCCATTAATATTCCATCTGCCATTAAAAAAACTTATCCCAAGCAACAAATAAAAGAAGAGCCCCAAACAGAACAGAACTGGTGGAGCAGAGCTCACTTCAGCTGCTCCAGATTTACCTTGCGTCTCTCCTCTGCAGCTTCCAACTTCTTCTGGATCTCCTCCAATGACACATCCTTCTTCTTGGGGGGAGACAGAGGGAATTCTGGCACAGCTTCTTTCGAGCGGGGGCTGAGGATCAGCTCAAAGGCCTGCCCAGAGGCTCGCTTCTCCAGTTCCTTCACCTGGATATCTGGGAATGAGGGGAAAAAAGCAAAAAAAGAGAGTATTTTATCCAGGAACTGGCTCAGCCAGTTAACAACAGCCTTCCAAAATTCAGCACCACCTGATGGAGGGCATCCAGGACAAGAGTTTTGTTTTCAGCATGGCAGTGCTGTTGAAAAACGCAGAAATTTTCTTTGTAATCCTTCCTCGATCCTACATCACCCAAACATCCGATGCTTTATTTTAGCCTTCAACATCCCAAGTCATGGAAACAAGTTGATTAGTTCAAATTAAAACTCAGTCTTCCTCCAAGGACAAACCTGCGGATGAATTTCCAGGCGTTTGCCTGACACCTGAGAGAGCCAGGAATTAAAAAAAACCCCAGTTTTTAGAGGAATCTGCAAAGCAGGGTTCTCTCTCCCAAGGCTGCACCAGGCACGTCAGCCCTGCACGGTATCAGCTGCACCCGCGTGGTCCCCAAGATGTCTCGGTGACAGTCAGCTCTGCCGAGGGAGCAGATGGCTGCAGGGAGCTGAAGCCCATCTGCTGCCAGACTCCTCTTTTGGGGTGTTTTCACAACCACCCAGCTTTAACAGCCTCACCCAAGATGGGTGAAAAGCCTAGTGACAGCAGCTTATTTCACTAGATTTGATTTTTAAGTTATCCCCGAGGAAATTAAGAGGCAAAAAAAGAAGATAGAACAGCATTGAGCACATAATTCCACCTACCAGAAGTAGCCATGGCCAAGAAAATAAGACTCCAAAAGCCAACCCTGGGAGAAGATCAGTCGGTTGGGTTCCTAGATAACAAAGAGATGTGCCTTTCAACAGCCAGCACAGGGATCCTGTTCCTTCTAACAAAAACTGCTAAACATAATTAGAGCTGCTAAACAAAAGGCAGTCAAGGTAGGTCACTGCAGTCAGTGATTCCAGGCGTTTTGTGGGGATGATGGACAGTGCTGGGAATACCAGAGAGATTATGGAATTACTGGTGTTGCAGGATCTGAATGACATTCAAGCATCTTCAGTCGGTTTCATTCCACCGTAATTAAGATAATCAAACAAAGACCCCCGTTTTACTACGGCACTGTGGAGATTTCACTGCTCTCACAYACAGATAAGAGCTCTCTGAATTAAAAAATGACGCACCACAGGACAGCACAGCCAGGATTCCTGCTACTCCCGAAGGATCTGAAATGTGCGCAATCGAGCTCATTTAAAATTCGGTTTTAATTGCGCAGCTCAAGTCAGATGCTTCACACCGCGGCAGACAGCGAGGGCGCACACCGCCCAGGACACCTTGTTAAAATGGGGCGTCGTAAAAAAATGCCACA